AAAAAAAAAAAAAATCTACAGAGGTTTCCATTTTCTGTTTAGTACCCATTTGTCTTTCTACTGTTGTAAATAGCTACTTGTGTGATTTTCCATTGGTGTGTTTATTTTTTGTTGGTTTATAGGAGGACTCTACCTGCTGGCCTCCCTACAGAGGCAGACTTGGAGTGCCCATGCCATCTCTCATCCATCTTTTTCCCACTGCAGATCCTAAATCTGACACAAGCGCTGAAAGACAACAAGAGTCCCCTGCACCTTGTCCAGATGCCGCCTGTGATTGTTGAGACGGCCCGTTCCCATCAACGGTCTGCTAGCGAGTCCTACACCCAGAGCTTTCAGAGTCGGAAGCCCTTCTTTTCGTGGTGGTAGCCCTGCAGGCAGGTGAAGGCAAGCTTGTGTGAGGTGCGCACAGGCATCCAGGTGCAGGGAAGCCCGAGAAGCCCCTGGGGAGCAGCGCGTTTGCTAGCCCTGGAGCCCTCCCTCTCTGCTCGCCACCTCCTTCGGGCTTTCCCACCCACAGGGAGAAGCACAACCAGGGACTGGGAGTGCTCCTGAGCCCTGCCAAGTATTGGGGACGCTGCAGTTAAAGAGTCCAGGTGGTTGAGGAGCAACTCCCTTCTAGCATCTCTTGATGGCAGGCTGGGACAGTCCATCCCTCCCTGATGCCCTCCTCCATTGCAATTCCTTGTTATATTCTGCATCAGAAAAAAAAAGCCACAAATTTAAATGCTTGTAGCAGAATCCAGAGCCTCTCATATGAGAAACCTTTAATCTCATATGAGAAACCTTTAATCCAGACCTAAATTTGTATAGACCCAGACATTTGGGTGTGTGGCAGTTGCACACTTCCAGGAACAGACATATGTCAGAGGACCACTGGGTGGCTCGCAGTGCTGGGAGAGACAGAAACCACACTTCCTTTGGGTTTTTGCCAAATCTTCCTCTGCTCTTCCCATCAGTGTGGTGGTTGGCTTTCCTTGGCAGGCAGCTTTTGCTCTGCAACACCCAGAACCTACATCTGCAGAACCTCCTCTCTGCCTTGTTGTAGTTTACCTGTCACTCAAGCATAGGTGGGAGGGGCTGATCTTATAATTTCTGTTTTGCTTTTTTTTTTTTCCTGGTACTGGGGCTCAAAACTCTTGAAACCAGGGGCACTCTACACTGAACTATATCCTCAGCCCTTTTTATTTTTGAGATAGGGTCTCGCTAAGGTACAAGTTAAACTCTTCTGTCTCAGCCTCCCTTAGTACTGGGATTATAGGCATGCCCCACTGTGCCCCACTGTTCTGTTTTAATAGGTGGTTAACACCCAGCATGTGAAGGTGATCCACATGGCCTAGTGCATGCTGGGAGCTGTAAGTAATCTGTAGGGGATTTAATCCCAGGCTTGCTTCTTGAGTCCTTAGCTACAGTTCTCTAATTTGTTTCTATTGTTCTAAGTATTTTTTCCCCAGCTTTTTTTGACTTAGGAGTTCAGTTTAGGTTCTAGAGTAGGTCTCTATGAGGGGTCTGGGTGGCCTCAGCTCTCACAAGAACAGAATATCTCACCCTTGGACTTCTTTATGTGCTACCACTGCTGCTTGGAGGCAACAGGATGTGTATTCTGCCTTTTATTCCTCTGCTCCCTGGCTTCTTGCCCTGGCCTGGTTTTTCCATGGCTTCTTGAGAAAGGCAAGGCCCAGAGGAGAGAGGCCTTCATACTGTCCCCTCGTGCCTGCCCAGCTCAGTGTACATCTTGCTTCCATGTCTTTTCCCTCACCTGTCCTTGCTTGCCAGGTGTGCGAGTCCTTTCTACACCAAAGCAAAGAATGGCCTCAGGAGGGAGTAAAAAGGGTGCCCCCTGCGACTGAGGGGCAGCTGTACCTTACGCTATGGACACTTCGCAGTTCTGGTACCCTGTGATTGGTCAATCAGCCTTGAAAAGAAACTAATTTTGAAGGTTTGAAAAACAACCAAAGAAAGAGAGTAAGGACTGTGGCTGTGTGTCCCCTGCTTACCTGGCTTCCTCTATCCAGGAGACAGAGCAGAGACTTACAGCCCTCCTAGAACCTGGGCCACGTCACTTCCCAGCCATTCCAGCTCCCCGGAGCTGGCTTGTCCTGGACTTCCACCCAGCTGGCCGGAAGTCTCTGAGCACTGGATATGCGTATCTGTGGACAAAGTCACTGCTCCCTGTGTGCCCTGCCCTGACAATCCCATCTAGCCTACCTAGGTTCTGGCCTGGGGAACCATGTATGAGAGAATCTTGTCTTCTGAGTGCAGGAGCCAGTAGGTTGCCCAGGTGTGTGTACCTCCCTGCAGACAGGTTTGTGTGAACCTGTTGGCAAGGCTTCCTGCGTGAAGAGGCCTTTGGTGTTTCACCAGCCACGTCTGTACTATACTGCTCCAGATCAGCTCTGTGATCAGGAGGACATTGGGTCCAGTGTAAGAAGGGAGCCCATCCCAGGCCTGGTGAGCCAGGATATGGGGATCCTTTCCTGGCCTGCCTCCTCTCTCCCTTGAAGCCTGTACTCAGGTTGCTGTGAGTGTGGATTTTGGAGGACCCAAGGACCCCATGTGCCAGGGCAGGCTTCTGGTAGCACTCCCAGAACGGCCCATCATTCTTCCGGCCATCGGCCTGTCCCCGCTCTTCAAGGAGTGGAGGCTGGGCTGTGTGTGCTGCTGCCCCATACCATTCTTCTAATGCACTGTAGAAACTGTATGTAATATATTTAAATCAATGCAAATGTATGAATAATAAATCCAATTCTGACCTTTTTGTCCAGTTCTTTTTGTAGGAAGAAACACAAAGAGGGTAGAATGCAGTTTTAAGGACAAAGAAATCTTTTTCCATGGAGTTGGAGAGACATGGCTCCTGAAGCAACTTACCCTGGTAGAGGGAGACTCTGGTTCTCTTTCCCAAGTCCCAGTCCTCTGAAAACTATGTTTTCACAGTTCATTTCAGAATTGGACCAGAGTTTGTACTGATGGGACATTATCATTACTCATACGTATCCTCTTTAGTGTGAATATTAATGGAAGAAATACTAATCTCTTTTATGAGATTTTCCCCTACTAGGGACTCTAGTATTTGCTCCAACTGCTTCCTAAAAGCCAGAAATAATCCTGTTATCTAAAATCATCTAGCACCAAGGCTTTAGGGTAAGATGTGGACATATACTTGGGTAGGAGTGGCTTTTCTTGGCCACCAGAGGGCAGCTATGCCCTGTGTATCCCTGGCCTATGGAACCTTTGCTTATTTTGAATGGTGCTGTGGTAATCTGGGAGGTAGGAGGGGTGGGGAGGAGAGAGGAATGCTGACAAGATTTTGAGGTATAGCCAAAATAGGAAAAAACCTTCAAGGTTTGTAGGTGGTGGAGAATCTAGGATAGCAGGTTCTTAAGAATGGGTATTTAAGAATGATTGGTCCAACTCTTGCCCTACCTTGGGTTGGATGACCTTAAGGATGAAGTCCCCTGAAGTGCTGGTATTGACTACTTAAGACCACAGATTCAGCCAAGGACCCATTGCCTATTCTGTGGGGCTGACTACAACAGCTTCCCCCTTCTCTTTTCCTGACCCAGCAGCCTCTGCAGAAGGAGGCTGTAGCACAGGGGCTCCAGAACATGGGATGAGGAACCAGCAGGGTCTAGCCTTGATTTCTCCTTCCTAGGGACCTCTCCCTTCTGCCTCTGCTCTCTATTTGGATTTTCCCCTTCTATGACAGACTCACAGGGTTCTTGATGTAAATTTTTTATTTGCCACTTAAACTATGGTTTCCTTATGTTGGCCTGATAGCATGGGCATGTGGGACAGGCTTCTGGATCTTGAGTGATAGTAGTAGCCAGTGGATTAGTTAGAGACAGAAGTGGTGAGATGCTATGTCTGAGTGCCTGTCACTCCCAGGGAAATATGCAGCCCATGTAGTGTTAGTTCAAGAGGTCTGAGACAGGAGCAGTGGGTCCTATGTAGTGCAGAGCCCAGTGGACAGTGCAGTCCTGTTCCTAGCTGAGCAGGCCTCTTCCTTTCATTTACCTGTGTAGGGCTGCCTGCTTCCAGTCTCCCTTCTTCACCTCCCCAGGCCCTTTGGCCGAAGTCCCATGACTCCTAGGGAAGATCCTGCCACTCCTGGCCCCTTCCCTGGATCAGTGTCTGATCTGGTGAAGGTAGGCCGTGGGGCTGGGATTTCTCCAGCTCCGTTGGGTCCTGGCACTTGTCCTCCTGGAGTTCTGCTGTTTCTCTCTGGAGGTTGTCTCTGTGGCACTGCTCTGTGGATTGGCAGGTGGAGAACAGGGCTCCGAGATTCTGCTGGGAACAAGTGTATGACAAGTCAACATCAACAGGGAGAACAGGAGGGGGTCTTACCATGATAGACTATAAAACACACTGTTAGAGCAAAATGGGACCAGGGCTTGTCTCTGTGTGACTAGGCAAAGCTTTCTGGTATCTCAGCTGTAGGGAGGGCTGGACTAGATCAGGGGATATGATAGCATGTCTTCACCTTCATTGTGTACTCATGGCAGATACCATTAGTCATGTGTGACTGCTGTTTGAAGCAGAGACTGCTAATCAACTGGAGTAATACAAGCAGTGCAGTAGATTTGCCATCCCAGAGGAGAGGACCTGTTCAGGTTGATGTTCTGACTATGGACCCCAGAGAAGGCAGTAGAGGGACGGAAGCCAGAGAGTAACTTGTGGAGGTGGGTTTAATAGTTCAGCTGGGTTCCTGGGCCTGCTCTGGCAGTGACCTAGGCAAAGTTAGATGACTAGGAAGCCTAGGGAGAGATGCTCTCTAGAGGTAAAGTTGCTGCAACTTGTGACCTATGATGGCTCTGCAGTACATTCCTGTCATATTCTCTGTATTCCCACAGCCAGGAGTCTGACTAGGCTTGTTACTCTACAGGTAAACAGAATTATTATTTTTTTCTCCCAAACAGTATGCCCACCTGGTCAAGAGTCACTGCAAAAGGAGAAGGTGCTGCTAGGACCGTGGCACCTCTTACTGTCGAAGTTCACAGGATCATATGATCCCAACAGTAATAGCAGTCTTGGGTGCCAAACAAGTGGTGGCGCTGTGTGGACTTTATACCACCTCACCAGGAGGCACTTTCCAAGAAGACCAAGTCTCCAGTGCCAGATCACACAGCCAGGAAATGGCAGAGCAGGCACACTAGTGTCCCTTCACTCAGCACCTCCTCCTCGCTGCCCCAGGCACCTACCTGAGCCGGCTGCAGTGATGCGATGATGGGGCCAGGGGCCTCTGCCTTGGGGGTCTTTTCCTGCGCAGCCTCCTCAGGGCCTCTGCCACACGATGGTCCCCTGCACACTCCCAAATGATCTGGGCCCGCTCCTCGGCCAGCTGGTCCCCACTGCGCTGAAACAGGCCCTGGATCTGCAACAGCTCAGCGTCCTGGAAGATGTTGGCCGAGGCCTGTTTGCGGCCCCGGGCCTCAGTGGGAGCCTGCCAGGGGGGTGGCTCACTCACCACGGAGGCTGGGGTGCCCATTGTGGTGTTCTGAGGACAGAAACCATGGAGACATCAGCACTAAACAGGCCCTCCCAAAGCCGGGGTTTCTGACTAACAGCTTCTAGTTTCTATTTCCCAGGGTGCAAACTGAAGTGTCTTACTTTAAAATAACTCTTAATTTTCCAGAGCACCTTGGAGAAATGAAATTATTACAACAAAACTTCATCAAGTGCTTTTTATAGTTTGGCTCTAAAATGTCCCCTAAAAGTTTTGTTTGGATTCATCCATGGATGAGTTCAGTTGCTGAATAGTCTGTGGGGCCCCGTCTGAGGAGGCGGGCCAGCGGGGGCGTGCCTTTAGGGGGTGTGCCTTTAGGGGGTATATAGAATCTCCCTCTGCAGCTCCTCCTCTCTCTGCTTCCTGGCTGCCATGGCATGAGCACCTTTTCTCCGCTTCTGCCCTACCATTTCTGCCTTGGATCCACGTAACCCACCCAACCCACCCAACCATGGACTGAATCCACTAAATACTATGAGTCAAACTTCTCATTTGAGTGTTGGGTATTTTGTCACAGCATCAGGAAAGCTGATAATACAATGCTTATTTTTCAGACATCAGTATTACCTCATTTGATTCACAGCAACTGTTAAGAATTACCGTTTTCCCCCTGTTACAGATAAAATCTAACTCTGGTTAAATGACTTGTCATGGTTACAAAGCTGAGTATAACCACAGAGCCAGGAGTACTTACAAAGTGCTCTAGAGTTCATGCAGATACTGTACCAGGAAGCCCAGTAACAGCTCAAATTTGTTGGTTACTTACTATGTGCCAGGGCAAGAGCTTTATTCAGATAACATCAATGAAGTGTCATAAGCACAGCAGCCTTTTGAGGTAGGTATTTTACCCTCCAACCTGCCATCCACGGTTGTGCAGCTGAACTACAGTCAGACACTTCTGATGTGAAGACCTGGGCTTTTCACACAGAGGTAAGAGTTGGGGTATGGAGTTGGCTGCTTGGGTTGGAAGCCCACTTCTTGCACTTGCTAGCTGAGTGCTAGTACTCCCTTCATAGGGGTGATGTGAAGAGAGTGTTTAGGAGTGTTACACCTTGTATCTAGATGTTTCCCCAACGCCTCCTGCGCTCATAGATGGGGCTTTTTGGAGGTGGCTGGATCTAGTATGTGTGAAGCTGAAATTAAGGGCATATGATAACAATTGGTTTAGTACAGTTCTGGGTATAGATAAAAGAAGCACACTCTGAGTGTGGGTAGCACCAATCAATAGACTTGTAGTTTGGATGGAATATAAAGAGAAAGCAGTTTCACTGCTGTAGCTTGGTGCTTTGCTGCCTTCTGCCTGCCACACTATGAACTGTTTTTCCTCTGTGATGCCCATCTGCCATGCTGCCCTGACTTAAAGCCAGCTGCCTATGGACTGAAACCTCTACAAACTGAGCTAAATAAACCTTTCCTCCTTTAACTTGTGGGTGTTGGGTATTTTGTCTCAAGCAACAAGAAAAGAAATAAGACAGTGCTCAGTGTTTATAGGTTGTTCCAGTAATTTCTTATCCAAAATGTATGTGATTCTGAATTTTTCAGATTTGGGGATTTTACATACATATAATGAGATACCTTGGGGGTGGGACCCAAGTCTAAACACAATATTGATTGATGTTTTATATATACATTATACACACAGCCTGATGGTACATGTGTGCAATATTTTCATTTCAGCCTCTTATTTAAACAAAGTTGCATGATGTAAAAATTCTCACTTGGTTTATTTCAGCACTCAAAAGTTTAAGTTTTGGAGCATTTTAGGTTTTCAGATTAGGGATGTTCAAGCTGTGTTCTGCTTCTCAATTTATAAAACTGTGAAGGGTCCTCCTACTTCCTGTCTTCAAGACCTCAGGGCTAAATCAGATCTACCTAATTTAGCAAATAGTGTGAAAGAGACCAATCAGATCTAACCTCAGTCCAATGGACTAGGGCAGGAGATCCAGATCCCACTGAGGGGAAGAAGAGGCTACAAAGCTCAGAATATACTATCAAGGACAGAAGTTGATGTAAGCAAGTTCAGTGGAAGATAGGCTGTTGTGTCAATGTCTCTTGTCATTCTAACAGATGGAAATCATCTACTTTAGTCTGGATATTTCAGTTTAAATACTAAAGGCATAAGAATCTCCCCACTCTATCCTTGTCTCCAAAAGCTACAGGTTTGGAAAAGAGCCTAGAGACTGGGAAGACCAAGGACTTCAGTATTATGCAAAGCTGGGGTTGAATCCCAGCTCTACTACCTTCCTAGCTTTGTGACCTTAGGCAAGTCACCCAGTCTCTCTGTACCTGTTTCCTTAAATGCAAAATGGGTGTGTTGTAATAATATCCACTCCTCAGGATTGTAGTAGGAATTAAAAGCATGTAGTGTGGTATCAGGCACCCAATAAGAGCTAAACAAATGCACATGCCCCTCTTTTTTGGCCGCCTTCACCTTTGTACCTGGGCCCGGGATGTGATGTAGACTCTCCATTTCCTGCAAGCAGTGGGGCTGGAGCCAGCTAAAGACAGCTTGCACTCCTGTGTCCCTTGCCTCCCAGCCTCCCTTGTCCCTGTACCTTACCTTAAAAATCACCCTCATTACTCCAGTAATTTCCATACTTATCCTGTCCTACTTTGTAACAGGTGAGCCCCATTCTTCTCTCAGGTGTGGTGGAGCATGCCTGCAATCCTAGCATTCTAGGACCCTGAGACAGGAGGATCAAGTTTGAGCCCAATCTGGGCTACTTAGTGAGACCTTGTCTCAAAGCATAAAATTTAAAAAAAAGGGTTGGGGATATCGCTAAGTGCGAAGGCCCTGGATTCCATTGAGTACAGGTGCAAAAGGAAGCTGAGATGCAGATATGAGGACCAGTGGCTGAGCAGAGGCTGTTCTGTGACTGTGCCTAATATTTAAACCTCTGACCTGTCTTCACAGCTAAGAAGCTTGAGCACATTTCTTCATATTTCCATGAAGAGTGCTTCACTATTCCAACCTAATACTCTGCCAGCAGAAAGGAAAGGACAATGAGTTACCACACAGGGAGGAGTAAGGGAATTTGTCCACTCACTCACATCAAGGCTGTTGACTGGGGTGACTGTTCCCCCAGCCTTGAGCCAGCAGCACTCTTTAGAGGAAAATCCCCAGCTTCCCCAAAATAAATCTAGAACTACACCATAGCCCAGCACAAAGCAACAACTTGTGAGTCAGAAGCCTGGGTTTCTGGCCTGGTTCTGCCACTCCCTGGATGAGAGGCCACGGGCAAGTCACAGCACCTCGGTGGCCTGGTTGCCCTCTTACTGCTCCAAGAACAGGTTAATGCTGACAGTCCCTGAGGGCTTGCACTGGTGTGGAGAGTCAGTGATACCATGACAAAGCTAGGTCTGTACAGAGGGAGGATGATGCCACTTGTCAGCTTGGGCCTAGGAACAGTGAGTGGGGTCAGGTCTGGCTAGGTAGGTGCTAGGAAACTCCCAACTCATAGACCCTATTCTCCTTTCTCCTCCATCTCCCATGGAGACCAGGTCAGAGAATTCTTCTCTAAAGCACCCTGTTGATCAAGCTCAGAGTAGACTTCTAGGCTGGCCTGGTGGCAGGAGAAGGGATGATATCCCTCCTCTTAGACTCAGGTAATGCCCCCACCCCAACCCTGAGAAAGAATGGCAACAAAGATAAAGCAGCAGCTGTCTTGAGGGAACAAATGGTTTGGGCTGACTTTCCAGATAGTCCCAGCAACCTCTGCCAGGGCCTTGACTGAACAGTTTATAGCCAACTGTGTTACAAAGTAACAACAAAAACTACCTGGGCTGGGTATGGCCTCTCAGTTACTTAGAAGGCTGAGGAGGCTCACAAGTTCAAGCTCAGCCTGGGTAACAGTGAGACCTTGCCTAAAAATAAAATGGGCTGGGGAAGTAGCTCAGTGGTAGAGTGCTTGCCTGGCATGCATGAGGACCTGGGTTCAATTCCCAAGGCTGGAGTCGGGGGGAGGTCTGGAAGAATCATACCCTCCCTCTGTAAACATTTGCTAAGGGTGGCACCTCCAGATTTCAAAACTCTTCATTCTTGGCTCTACATCCCACCCCGGGATTCAGGCAGTAGAGTGAGGCTGGGAATAAAAACAGGTGGATTCTTGGTAGCAGTAGATGTTAAACTTTGGGAAAACTGAAGTAATGAGTCAAACATTTTTATTATCAAAAGAAGCATTTCCTATCTCATTGAGTGTGTTCAATAGTTACTTTCCCTTTAATTTCCTGGTCAAGGCCTTAATCCAGGAAGGTTAGTATATACTTGAACAATGAAAAATGTAAAACAGGAACCATTACAAGTGGATCTTTCATTTCAGAGCTGACATATAAGAACATAAGTATGGATCTGTACCCAAATGAATAAAGACTAATTGCAAAATACTTCAATATGACACCAACTAAAAATGAACTCTCAAAGTAAATATCAGATGTTGAAAATGACAAGATTCAACTTGCTTTAAATCAGGCAACAAGTGAAGAACTGTAGTTCGCTCACAAAAAAATATGTTTAAAAAGTGACTCAACCAGCAATGAATTTGCAATCTATCAATATGGTGCACAACTGACCATTCTTTGTAACATATAAAGTGAGTTCTGACATCCATTCACTGGAGTCCCAGAAATGCAGGTAACCATGAGGGGCAGAGTACTCTGGGGTCAGCTCGGCAACTCCTGGTCCCTACTCAGTGTGTCCTCTTTGAATAATCTCAGTGATGGCAATAATCTCTGTAATCAGAGGCCAAGGGCCTCTTAGAAAAATAACTGGAGGCTCTGGCCCAAGGCCCAAATCAACAGTTGTGGCCTGGCCTGCTACTCTGCACAGACATACCACTGGACAGCAGCCAAAATCTGTTGCTTCTCAAATGAGAGCCCAGTCTGAACGACTAGGTGGGCTCTAGATGCCACTGAGTCTCAGAATCTGTGCTCCACGAGGTGGAAAACAAACAAAGTGGGTGTTTTCCTCAGACCAGTTCTCAGACATGATCTGAAAATATGTTACTAGATCTAGGAATAATTTTTTTCAATAGTGCAACAACCTTGAGTTCTGGCAGTGTGTCTAACTGGGTGATTTTAAACAAGTCTTGTTTTCTCCTGCTTCCGTTTGCTCATCATCAAAATTGGGAGGAAAAAAGTACTTCATGGAATAAGGAAGATGAAGTATTTAAGGCATTCATCCTAGTACCTGGCATACAACAGACATTCTCTATATTGTATGTTGGTTGAGTGAATGAATGATATAAGGGGAAAGCTGTTAGCTAAGAGGACTATAGAATTATGATCATTTTCATTATCACTGACACCAGCAAACTCCAAGAGGGGCTGTCAGTCTTGGGAAAAGGCAAAGGGAGACAAACTCATCAGTATACATTTAAATCAAAGCTTTGTGACTAAACTGTGATGTGGTTTTCCGTGTCAAGCACAGAAAGTGCAAGAGCACTTCCAGAGGGGCATTTTGGTCCTCACACGAGGTAGCAGGATCATTACATCTCTCCTATGAGAGGACAGTATTGTTAAGCCCACTTTACAGACTAGAGAGCTGAGTCTATCAAGGTTAAGCAACTTGCCCAAAGTCATAAGAAGGTAGATGATGAAGACTGGAATATGAACACAGGTGATCTGACCCCAGTGCCCATGCTCTCAACCACTGCTATTTTTGTTCCTGCCAGATGGCTAAGGAGGTCTTCAGGGGAAAGAAGGCCCCAGAAGGTTCTGAAACCTTTCGGAACCCTCTATTAGCTTCTGCGGATTTTGGAAGTCGCAAGGATCCAAAGTCAGGTCTCCCAAGCCTGCCTCGGTATCCCTCGCACTCCACCGCCCCGGGGCAGTTACAGCAGTTATGCACTAGGCTGAAGGGCAGCTCTGACAGACGTCAAATCGGGATGGGTCAAGCTAAAATGCGCCCATCCCAACCCTGCCTTTGAGAGGGCAGGCGCAGCTAGGGCTTCCTGCCTCGAAGGTGCTCGCCAGGACCAGGACTGGGAGAGGGTATTCTAGCCGAGGTAACACAGGACACGGACAGCACGGGTTGGTCTCCGGGGCTCAGATGAGGCCGCTCCGCCGAACGACGGTCCCCAAGTAGATCTGTCGTGTGTAGCCGGGGACCTCCGGACTCTGGCTGTCCACCCGCCCCCTTCCACCTCCGACGTACATACCTGGTTGCCCAAGGCGGGCCACACGCAGCTCCGAGCCAGCCCAAACCACCTCGATCGCAGCCGCGGTTCCCCGGAGAAAGCGCTCGGAGCCCCGGAACAGCCAGCCAATCCTCTGCCCCAGCCTTACTCTGAGCTCCAAGGCGAGCCTTCCAAAACCCAACGCGGAGACTTCACGGACCAATCAGCTGCGGCAGAGGGGAGGAGGCGTGTCGGGCTCCGCCCCTCCGCCGGCCTCCAGAAAAGCTGCGCAGAGATTCCCGCGGTCCAATCAGCGGCAGAGCAGCGGCAAGGGGCGTGTCCTCGCGGGCACTTCCCTCCGCCCGGCCACCCTCGCGCCTAGCCCGTAGTGGCCCCAGACCTTGACGTCAGTCCCCAGGGCTAGAGCGGTTTTGCTGTCGCGGGAGCTGGGCGGGGCCGCATTCCTGTCCCCGGGTGCGGCTGCGGCTGGCCCGGCAGGATACACGTGACAGATGCCCCTTCTGGGCCGAGGCCAGCGCGTGCGGCACGAGTTCTTTGCGGCGCGTGTCCTTATGGGGCTCTTTCTACTCTGCAGCTCCTAAAACACTCCTCTCACCTCCCAGCCCACCTGTGCTCTGACCTCGGGGCGGGGAGGCAGTCATTTCTGCCGTCTAAATGGGTTTCAAAGCCAAATAGATTCTAATCTTGTATCATCTGTGCGACTTTGGCCCGGTATCCTAAACGAGACAGTACTTAAATTTTCATACTTATTCGAAACCCTTCATTAGGGATCTACCCTGTCAGGGTTCCTTAAAAGGTAGTAACAGAGCTAGAGCCCTTGCCCTTGGGGACTTCATAGCCTAGGAAGGGAGGCAAACACCAAATAACCTAAAACAATACGCGGTTACAATTGTGATCAATGTTATGCTATCAGCGGGTAAACTGAAGAGCCCAAGTTCCCTCTGGGAGGTCCTGGAAGGCTGTAGAAATAGCATAAAAGGGGAGACATAACGGAGTAGTTGAAGTTGTTACAATGAAGAGGAAATGGTAGGGGAAAAGAGTGTTTAAAGAGGGCATGTCCAGGGTCAGGACATAATCTTGATCAGAATTGAAATGAGGCCTCGGGAGTAGTGCTATACTATAGCAAGGCAGCGCAGGGTGTAGGCAATGAACAGGTTTTCATTTGATCCTCAGAGGGGTTAAAGCAAGCAATAGCATGATAGGTATTTAGTAAACGGCATCCCTAGCACTTATTATGTGCTAGTAATGCCAGTCAGCACTTTAAAAAGACTAGCTCGTTTTACCCTGGTGACAAATCTGTGTTTTTAGAAGGTCACTCCTCCTGCAGCTTGGAACTGCAGCTTGTAGAAGGATGGAGCAGATTAGGGTAACCATTAGGCTCTTGTTAAATGCTTATTTTCTTCCTTGGAAGATGAAGGAGTTTGTATCCTTGTCTAGAAATGTTTGAGAAGAGTGCCTGGATATGACACAGAGATCTCTTTTTCACTTTTCCGGGAAGAAGCAGCACATTGGAGTTTGTGGGTTCCTTTTTCCGGGGTGAAGGGGATTTTTGGAAACTGTTCTTCCTCTCCCCTGATTAGAATTCCTCTTTCTGTCCCTCTGTACAAAAGCAGAATCACCCAAGTATGCTCTAGTGAAAAGGGTTTTGACAATGGTTTCTCTGCTTTTTCTTAAGCCCCAGGAAAATGGTGAAAAGAACAAACAAATCAGCAGTGCCCGTTTCCAATAAAAAGTATTGCTGTAAAGTCTTTCAGCCAACTGCTTGGTAAGAAGACTGTATAGGGGGAGGGGAGGACAGTCAGTGCTGTGGTCAGAATGGGCTTCAAAACCAAAATGTCACATAGATTATAATCTTGCATCATCTGTGTGACTTTGGGCCAGTAAGCTAAACAAGACAATACTTAAACTTTTGTACTTATTCAAAATCATTCATTAGGGGCCTACATTTTTTGGGTTCCTTAACAGGTCATAACAGAGTGGGAAGGCAAGGCTTCTGAGCCAGGAACTCTCTCTAGCCCACTCTAAGCAATAGGAAAGCCAGCTCATGGCCTATCAGTGCTTGGAGAACCTAGGAATCCTGAGGCTATGAGCTAGATGAGCATCCCAGGGTAGAAACTGGGAGCTTGTGGCTTCAGAGTCAGATGCAGTTAAGCCTGGATGGAGAGTATCTGGTGTTTACAAACATTTTTTCAGGCATATGAATGGCAACATTTCCAGTGTTACAACTTTATGATTAAATATTTACGAGGAGAATATAGGGTACTTCCACAGTTGAGTGGGCCACACAAGGCCTCACCAGGAGAGGGACATCTGGGACACACATGATAGCGCTGGAGACAAGAACCGTCAATAAACAGGGCTCTGTTTAGAGAAGGTTGACTTTGAGGAATGTCAGCTGGTGTCATTCAAGCCAAGACCTGTTTTTACTCCAGAACCCAGATTAAGTGAAGTGGATAAGGAACTCTACTCAGGCATAAAATTTGAAAAGGCTCCAAAAAACTTAATAAACAAGGTAAATAACATCTTAATATAATATTTTTAAAAATTAAAATGAATGCAAAGTATCCATGATAAAAAGAAAATCAAAAAGTTTGAAAATGGTAAGTTATTGTTTGTTTATGACTTCACATATTTTGTAATGGGAACAAGCCATTTCCAATCAGCCAGTTTTGGTTCATAGTTTCACAGGTTTCAGTCCATGGTCTCTTGGCTCTGTTACTTTGAACCTGTAGTAGCACATCATGGTGGGAGCATATGGTGGAAAAAGTCTGCTTACATCATAGCAACTGGGAAGCAAACAAGGGAAGGGTCTGGGTTCCGATCTCCCCTTCAAGTTTCCCTAATGAACTAACAGTTCTCAGATAGACTGCCATTGTAGTGGTCTTAGAAAACGAAAATGGCATGTGAACATGGGAATTTAAATGTAGCCATTTTTTTTTGTTTGTTTGTAGTACTTATATCTACTTTTTCCATTGGGGTTTGAATACGGGAGGATGTTGGATAAGTACGTACATACTATGGTGTATATTTTTCCTTTTGTATAAGGCTCCCACATGTTTCATCTCAGTGCTGTTTTTACCCTAAAAGTAAATAAAGTCTGGGAGATGGGTCTTACCTGTTCAGCCTTAAGCAAGTGACTTAAACTTCCTGTCTCTCAACTTTCTTCTTTTTAAAGTGGGAATGCTCAGAGCTGGAGGTATAGAGCCACAGTAGACTGTATGGTTGGCATGTGTGAGACCCTGGGTTCAATCCCCAGCTCTGAAGAATGAATGAATTAATAAATGACTAAAATAACAATAATTATACCCACCTCTGCATTAATTTTAATTTCTTAAAATACAGCTTTAAGATATTATTTATCTTGATAATTAAGTGTTGCTGTGAGGATGAAGTGAGACACTCTAGGATGAGTGCTTAATAGGCTGGGTGCTTCAGCTAACCCTGGATTGAAAATATTTGAAAAATAAAAATGATAAAAAGAAGACAAACCAAACAAAAAAGAAATATTTGAAAAATAAATTGCTTCTGTACTGAGCATGTACAGACCTTTTTCTTGTCATTATTCCCTAACTATGCAATATAACAACAACCTATGTAGCATTTACAATGTATTAAATTTTATAAGTAATCTAGAGATGCTTCAAAGTATATGAGGATGCATTTAGATTCTATACAAATACTACATTGTTTTGTGTCAGAGACTTGAGTATTTGCAGAGATCCTAAAAGCCATCCTTCCACAAATACTGGGGGACAGCTGTACCTTGGTACAAATGCCAAGCCAGCACTGGACTCCTCTTGCTTCATCTCCTGCAGTTGTTCAGGCAGCTGGACAGTTCCGGTCCCCCAGTGATACTGAGACTTGACGTGAGTTTCTAATTGGCATGTATCCTGTTCTAGAAAGAGCAGAAAAGACTTTCACACTCTACTGACAAGCTGCACTATGATATATGAGTCAACGCTGGCTTTTTTTGAAAAATGATAATGACCATTCTAAGCTGTTTTTTAAAATCATCCTTCTGCTTATGACATTACACAAAGCAACTTAGACGGCAGCCTTCTTTTTGGAATTTACCATCTGGACAGGCAGAAAATATCCAACTCTCACAGACAAATGGTACTTTATAGAAACACTAAAAAACAAACAAAAAAATCCCCACAAACCCACCATTCATGTAGATCAAATTTAAAGCATAATATGCTTGAGCCACTACTAAAAAAAGTCCCAAACATTGGGTGGCTTCCACTAGAGAAATTTATTTTCTCATAATTCTGGGGGCTGAGAAATCTAAGATCAAGATGCCAGCTGCTTCAGTTTCTGATGAGGGATCTATCTCTTTCTTCCTGGCTTGACTGCTTCTAACGTGTGTGTGTGTGTGTGTGTGTGTGTGTGTGTGTGTGTGTGTAGCGGGGGAGAGACAGAGAGGAAGAAAGAGGGGGGGAGGAGGAGGAAGAAAAGGAGCAGGAAGAGGAGGAGTGGACAGGAAAGAAGGGAAGAGAGGAGAAGAGAAACAGGAAAAGAGAGGAGAGAAGAGGAGAAGAGAGGAAACAATCAGTGCGTAAGAGGGAGCTGACCTCACCATCCGGATAACAAGACAATAGTCTACTCTGGTGGTATTGACATTAATGTATTTGTGAGGACTGAACCTTCATGACCTACTGTCCTCTTATTAGACACCACCTGTCAACACTGTTGCTTTAGGGATGAAGTTTCTAGCACATGAACTTTAGGGAACACATTCAAGCCATAGAAACTTACAAGGTATCAAAAAGCCCTGTTGTATACCTTAAATAAATATAATTTTTATTTATTTATTTATTTATTTTTAGTCCTGGGAATCAAATTCAGGACCTTGTGCTTGCCAGGCAGAATAAGTACAATTTTATTTGTCAATCAGCCCTTAATAAACCTGGGAAACATAAATAATAAGTGAATCATCTCAAAGACAGAGAGCACATGTATTATTAGAATGCTTTTGATTCCAAGAAACAGAAGACCCAGCATCTTCAGTCAAGGCTCTGGAAGGAAACATTTGTTAACTCTTTTGTTGCCCTTCGACTTCTAACAGATGTATTTATTGGGCAACCCCAGCTGAAAGCTGTGTGAAAGAGAACCTCCTGATGTAGTCAAAGTAGGGCAATAGCAGAGCGGGAAATGGTGAAGAGTGGGTCA